GAGCTGGGATCTTACCTCATTTGCTTCGTTCTTTCAGATTTCTGGTTCTTCTTCCTCACACAGGGATATCCAGAGAACCATATCCCATCCTTATCTCAAGATCAAAATTTTATCTGGTGTCTTAGAAACCCAGAAAAGGAGCCAAACATGCATTAATCCATTTAAAAGAAGTTTATACTCTGTTTAGTAAGACAGGTGGTTAATAAAAGTGACGTCCTACCTCTTTTTAAAACAGACCAAAACTTGAGAAGATGTGCCTAAAGGAACTGTACTCAAACTTCCTTATTTTCCATCAGAATAAAAATCACCCTGCTTCTCTTATTTCCCTTTCAACATGGAGTATACCTTTGTGCTCGACTTCCCTGAATGCGCTCAGCAGTAAATATTCCATGCCACAGAGTTGTAACAGGCTAGATAAGGTGCTATCCTGACAGCAGTCACCTTCTCTGCATCCTGGTTTCTATGATGCTTCTAAAACTGTCAGGGCAGAAACTTCATCTTAGCAGCCAATCTCTGTTTCATCTTTGTGCATGTTCAATGCAGTGATGGTGATGCCTTTCTTGGAGATGAGCTATAGTCATATCTCAGATCTACATTTGAAAATTTCACTTTCAAATCATGTGGCCGTGTGTCTAAAAGTAGAATGTCGAAGTGAATGTTGTCAGAATCTTGAAGTTCTGAGGAAAGAATTAAAAATAGAGTTTGGCAATGCTCTCTTGGGTCTGGTCTTCCTACATGACAATATTTAGAGAAACTGGAAGGTGCAGTGTGTTTGGTTAAAAGGAGATCAGATTGTGGAAAGAGTGCAGAAAAGGGAGGATCACCAGGAGCACTTCTGACCTAAGCGGAAAAAGTTAATTTTGCTAAACTCCATTCTTAAGTGTTTCTACCACTCTTACTATCTTCCTTTGTTCTTCAGACAGCTCTGAAATCTGTACCCACACTAACACTGTAGTATGAAAAGAGCAGACTTGGATTTAAATCTCAGTTCTGCTACCCACTAGCCTTGGGGAGGTTGCTCTGCCTGAGTCAGTTTCCTCCTCTGAAATGGGGGTAATAACCCCTACTTTGCAATATTTATGAGACGTAAAGGAGTCAGTTTAGGGAAAGCACTTGCCACTGTACCTGACACATAATAAGCCCTCAGTCAACGTTAGCTGCTCCTCCGAGCTGGATAGATGGTGGTAGCAATGGTTCTTATTCAGACTGCCTCACACAATGCCTAGTATGTAGTAATCCATCAAACACTATGAGCTGCCAATAGCTAGGATCTAAGAAGCAAAGAAATAGTCCCTTCTTTCTGTCCTCTCTCTCTCGGTGACAGTGATGTGCGCTCTTGTTCTCTCCCACCCGGGCCAAGGCGACTGTTCTGTGCTTTTACCTGTGCTGCTCTTCCCTCTGCTTAGAATGTTCCTTCCAGCTTGTCAGGCTCCTTCAGAATCCAGCTCAAATGTTGTATTTCCCTTGAACTCTCCTGACTCCCCAAAACAGACTCAGTCTGTCCTTCTTCTGGAGGCCCATGGCACTCAGTATGAGAGGTCCTTCATAATAGCCATTGCTACATTAAAGTGAAATTTGTTTGTTCATATTTATTAACCTTATTAGACTTAAATGTCCTTGATTATGTAGACTGTCCTGTTTCTCTTTACTACCCCCAGCACATCATATAACACCTGGCTCATAGTTAGATGTTCAGGAAATCTTCACCAGGTGCGTGAATGAATGTGTTTCACTCCAAGTTCCCATGTTTGCAAACCTCTAAGGCTTTCGTCTCTCCACCCCGCTCTTCTCCTGTCTTCCCCATCTGATCTGCTTCTCACAAAGGCTAATACTGTGGCCTCCTAGCTGTATACCCTGCCTACTTCTCAACACTTGAAGCCAGTGTGTCCATCGTACAGGTATTTGCATATTCTCATCATGACATTTTCCTGCACGGTGTAGTCTGCAGCCCCTCGTATCTCACTCCTCTGTTGAGCATTGAGGCCTCCCACCAGCTAGCCCTCCAAGGCACTGACTGAGCCTCCCCACCACAGCATATTAATAGTGCTGAACTTCTACCTGCATTTTTCCAATCCTGTTTCACAAATGCTTTTCAAGGGTCTACTATGCAAAAAGTACCCTGCAAGGTGCTTTCTAGGGTACAAAGATGAGTAAAACACAACTCTTTCAAAGAACCTACACAGGAAAGAGGCACACATCTGAATAACTCTTACAGAGCAGACCATGGAAGGTGCCATAAAAGAGGTACAAATCCAAGGTTGGGGATTTTAAGGAATGAAAAAAATCATGTCAAGTTGGAAAACTCTGAGAAGTTTTTAAAGATCTCAGGAAAAGTTTTATAAGGAATATCACATTTTAGACTTTATTATGATAGAGATTGAGTGTGGGGAGAGCACCAACATTACAAGCAAAGGTGAGAAGGCCAGAAAGGGAGGGCAGGCCTGTTTGTGCTGTGTGTATGAGGGGTGGTGGAGGGGAGGGTGTTGAGCAGAAAGTATGCAGGGCATAAGGCCTCAGACCACAGGAATGCCTTCATTCTTAAGGCATTCTTTCTGCTTTGTCTGCCAATCAAGAGCCTTGAAACCTTACCCAAAAGTCACTTCTTCCCAGTGCCCTAACATCTTAACCAACCCTGATTAGCACCTACTACTTGTAATTACTTTAAATTTTGAGTGCACTGTGTCCCTTTACTTTTTGGTCATTTTCCACATCCCTGTGACTTTCCCAGACAATCAGCTCCTCGGTGACTAAGACCAGGGTATCCTTTTACCTCCATTTTCATTCTTTTTCTACCCTAAATCAGTGCTTAGAAAGGTGTCCTTACCACTAGGCATATAGCAGGGTCCAGATCCACTCTGCTTCATGCTATTCATTTCCACCTCAGCAATGAATCAGACAGTATTCCTGTCCCTAGGGAGCCTATATTCTAGTAACTGGTAATTATGTAATTATGAGCAACTTACCTAACCTCTGTGTGCCTTGGATTCTAATTTGTACAATGGGATTAATAATCCCTTCCCTGCTCTCTTTAAATTTGGTAGTAAGTACCATATATATAATAACGCTTTAAACTTTGCAGCATTATAGAAATATGAAGTATTAGTAGCAAATGCTTTTTGCATGAGTAGAAGTCAAGAGTAATTTTCCTTCCTGTGCCCCCAGCTGCCGAACACTTAGGAGTTCTAGAGTAGGAAGTTATGATTATGAGTAAATGAGAAACTAAAGAGGCCCTTCTGTATTTAAACTCCTTGGACATCAGGCCAGTGCTCCATGACTACCTCGTGAACATTAACACCATTACCAGGTTACCAAGGAATTTGCTACTAAATGAAGCTACGAATTAGTGCGGGTGAGTTGCCAGGCAGTGCAGGGCCCAGCAAGTCTGGAGCCCTCTTTTGCCTCACAGACAGAGGCCTTTAGGAGCGAAATGAAAAGTAGCCTCGTGTTGCTACAGACTGGCCTCCTGGGCAAATAAAGAAGCGCATTATCTGCATCTAAATAGTCTCTGAAGGATCCTGCTTGGAGATTGATGATTGCTCCTCGAGTTTGGGAGGGTGGAAAGCAGGGTCCCAAGGGCTTCTGTCAGTGACAGGAATCTGAGTCATCAGAGGGAACCATGGCCATAAAACCACTGACAGAATTAAGAAATGGATTGTTGTCGTCAAAAGCATGTATTCAAGCACCTGTCGCCTTAGACCAGCCTGCTGGTCGTGCAGAGCGAGTCCCTCACCCAGTTCTGACTCCTGAGAGCTGACAGCCTAAAACAGAGATGTCTCTTTTCTTTCATTTACTGCATGGATATTTACTGAGCTGAGGATGTGAAGACAAAATTCAGTCCCCACTTTCACAGAGCTCACAACCCACCCTCGTGAAATAAAGGGAGTGATAGAAACAGGAGGAGCTGATGATGACTGAAATCAGTGTAAATGTGACGTGCAAGGAGAGGACGTGTCATGGAGTGGCCTGTCGAGGGTGCTCTCAGGAATTTTGGAAAGGAGGAGTTGTTAGCCTTGAATAATCAGGGAATGCTTTGTGGGAGAGGTAGCTTGAAAATGGGGTTCAGCTTGAGAGACACCCCAGAACCCCCAGGAAGAAGGCAGTAAAGGCCCCGAGATGGGGAGAGGGCTCTCTTGACAGAGGTGGTAATAATCCACTGGATGGGGGCTATGAGAGTGGAGGGGATGCAAATGGTCTACAGTGATTGTGATGATGGTTGCACAGCTCTGACTATACTAAAAAAGCTGCTAAGTCGTACACTTTAAATGAGAGAATTGTATGTGAATTGTATCTCAATAAAGCTGTTTAAAAAAAAGAATCTGCTAGAGAGGAATAGATATGGGGACAGTCGTCTATTCTGATGGGTCTGGGGTTACACAGGTTTAAGAAAGAGACTTCTGTCACTCATTAGGGCTTTGGCCTTGAGGAAGTGTTGAACTTGTGGAATGAAATGGAAAGGTTGGCAGCATTTTGCATCTGACAAAACGTAAGCCGAATGTGACACATGGATTGGGTACCTGTGTCATCACCAGGGTACCAAGACAGAATTGTGGAGAAAAGGTGCCTCTTTTCCCTGCGTATAACTTGATTTGGAAGGGGAAGAGAATTAAGTATATCTTGTAGAGAGGTTATTTGCGGAGGCAGGAACCGTAGAGGAAAGAATGCATAGAAGAAGCAGATAAATAGCTTAGATTTGTGTCCCCATCAACTCTTATTTTTTCAGTGTGAATATGTGGTTGAGACCATGTTGGCCTTGACTCATCATACAGAAAAAAATGGGCTTTAATCTTGACTTCCTGGGCCTCTCGTCCATTGACAGAACATAAGAAAGGTATTTTAGAATGGTGGGAGAAGCAGGAGGCAGATCAAAGCGGAGTGGTTTTTCTTTCGTTGTTTTTGTTGTAGCTGCTATTCTTTTGTGTATTACAGGTGGACTAGAAACCTATTCTTTCCTCCTCCACTCACTGTCCAACTTTCATTCCCAAATGTTCATTCATTTCTAGGACATGGTCCGGCGTGGAGAAATCATCGACAATGACATCGAGGATGAGTTCTACCTCCGGCGCTTGGATGCGGGGCTGTTTGTTCTCCAGCACATCTGCTACATCATGGCAGAGATCTGCAATGCCAACGTGCCCCAGGTAGGAGCGGCTGCCCCACGTAGGAGGGGGCTGCCCCCAGCTGGGCCTGTCCATCCCCACAGAGGCTCTCAGAGAAAGAAGTGGGTCACACTCTCCTTGAATTCCTTCACTCTACACGGGTCTGCTTTTTCAGGGATGGGGGTGAGGTGAATACTTTCAATACAGTGTATTCTGCTGTCTCCCAGGACAAATGATGTTGTTTTCTATCTCTCCCCACTCTTTCCCTTATTAGATTCGCCAGAGGGTTCACCAAATCCTAAATATGCGAGGAAGCTCAATCAAGATTGTCAGGCACATCATCAAGGGTGAGTTGGATGTTGCTTGTGTCTGGGGCTCCAGGGGATTAGATGATGCTTACTTTCTGTCTCTATCAATATCCCCAGAATTTGGTGTGTAGCATCCTCTGCGCTGCAGGCTGAAGTGTGTTGTCCAGTTCACTGTGTGTCCAGGTCATCTTTGTCGGAATGCCGAAGACTAACACAGTTATTCTCTGCCTCTGACCCTCCAGTTCCTGAATTTTGAAAACACGTAACAAGAAGCACTAGAGATGGGAAATATTTGTTAAAATTTTAAGAAAAAACAAAACAAAAAGAACTACCAAACAAGAAACAAACAAAATCCAGTTCTAAACTACATGTAGTAGAAGGAAATTTCTTTCTCAGGGGAAAAAAACAGAAAGTAACAGGAACTACCTGGAATTACGCAAGGCAGAAGGTGAATTTGAGGCAGTGTGGTGTAGTAAAAAGAGCATGCCCGCTTTCCAGTGCCAGCTCTGCCTTCCCCCAGCAGTGTGAGCATAATCTCGAAATTTTACAAAGATTCATCTGATGCTGTATGACGGCATCCAGTGTAGTGTCCAGCACACCTAAGTGCTGTAGTGAGTTTCCTTCACCTACCCCAGGGAGTCCCTCAAACTCTGTTGAATCTTTGGTTGGACCTGACTCAGCTGGAGTGGTTCCCAAGAGGCCTCCAGTCGGTTAGCAAGCTCTCAGTCAGCTCTGATGCAGCCCCACCCTCGAGCCACTTCGCACAGATTTCACATACGTGGCGGGTAGAGAGGCCCATGTTGGACTTTATGGTACTGATAACTCCAGGGTTCAGAGAGACTCGTGATGGACATGACTGCAGGCAGATCATTTCTTTCTCTGACCCTTGTTCTGCCAGTTTTCTAAGGTGAGGGATTAGGCTAGATTTATTCAAAGGATTTGCCTGTAAGTGGCTTATAACTCCCATTACAGGTGGGACATGAAATGGGGAGATAAATGATACATATAATAAAGTGAAGAGCCGTGGGCCCTGGGATCTGGCCCCTGGAACTGAATCCTGGCTCTGCTATTTACTGTGTTACCTGGGGCAGGGTACCCTCTGGGATTTCATGGAATGAGTGAAAGGATTAAATGAGATGATATGTGGAAAATGTCTGACTCTTAGTAAGTTCTCAGTAAATCTTAGCTACTATGAGCATTGTAAAATACTGTGATGATAATTATCATCATCGTATTATAAGTGGGGTCTGACTAAAACCCCGTGGGAGGCCTTGTGGGAGTAGTAACACTGAGCTGTGTCTTAGAGGCTGGGACAAGAACACTCCAAAACAAAGGAGCAGTGTGAGTGAAACATAGGACTGGAAATCACATGTCCAGGATAGCCCTTCCGGGCAGGTGGGGAAGGTAAATTCACTAGACTCATTTTGCAGATGGAGCATTTGAGGCATTGGAATCTATGGTCTCCCTCAGAGAGTAGCCTCAGGGGAACCCGCTCCTGAGCCTCGCCCAGCATCTTCCATAGCAGCATCCTGGGTGCTCCCTTCTTGTTCTCAGTGTCACACTCACATGAATTACTGCTCAGAGTGTCATGCCATCTCCTCCCTAAGGTGTAGCTGTGGTGATTTGCAACCCTAGCCTTTAAGTGGCATTTACTTTTAATGCCCACATGTTCAATTAGAACTTTTTACTACTCTCAGCCCTACTCTCTTGCATTTAGGCTTCTCCCTGCACCTCCATCCCTGTAATCAAAACAGTGATCTTCTGAGAAAGGAAAAGTGTTTTTAACAGGTGCTAACATGTAGTAGGTGGTTGGTTTTGTTGTTGTTTCCAGAAACCCAGGCACATACACTTTAGGTTATTCAGAATTTTCAGTTGTTGTGAGCCAGCCTGTCTCCCTCAGATCCTCGTTTATTCCCCCAAGTGCCTATAAAAGTGCTGGGCACATCCTGGGTGCCAAATATTTGTTGATTGAGTGTCTGGGTGGATGAACAGGTGAGCGAGCCAGTGAGCAGCCTGCCGGTGCTGCATTCATCCCCGCAACTCCTGTTCCTTTTCCCCACCTCTGTCTAGACTCTCAGACCCATCTCTCCAGACCTAAGTCCAGCCCTTCAGCTCTCTCTCCATCACCCTTCCCAGCCAGTCCACTAGTGAATCTGCCATTTCTGCTGCCTCCTGTCTCAATCTTGAATCCATCCACTTCTCTCCATCTGTTATTTCCCATCATAGCCCCAAGTTTATTTCCTTCTTAGCCCTTATCACAGTCTGTAATTATTTTTATTTGTGTCTTTGTTTGCTTGTTTTATGTGTCTCATACGTTAAAATGTAAGCTCCATGATGTAGGGACATTGTCTGGCTTGTTCCTCATGTCTCCTCAGCACCTAGAACAATGCCAGGCACATAATGGGTACCCGGTGAATATGTGAACATTGTTGAATTAAACCCTGCCCTTGTGTGAATTTAAATTGGCACATGTTTACTGAGACTTTCCTCAGGGCTGGGCACAGCGCTACACACTGTCTACTAAGGTGTCACGTAGCACCTGCCCTCATGGAGTCTCCTGGGGGACATAGATGTAGAAATGACCAACCATAATTCAAGCTAAGTGAAGTGCAGCGACTCAGCTAGCAGTGCTGGCTGCCGGGCTCTGTATCCAGCACTAGAGGTACACGGGAGAAGGGAAGTAAGCACAATCCCCACCCCGGAGGGCTTGCAGTCTAGTGGGGAGAGATGCTCGGAGCTAATTATAATGTGATAAGTGCTGCGTTAAAGTTGTGAACAGAATGTTAAGGGAGTGGTAAGGCGGCGGTAACAGAGGCACAGGCCATGCCAAGGAGTCCCACAGCAGGGAGAGGCTCCTCCCAGGACTGGGCATGGTGTCCCAGAGGGAAAGGCGCATCCCAGGCAGGGGGAGCAGAGGCCCAAGGCAGGGCAGGACAATAGGACATCAGTGGCCTTCATAGAACTCAACCATGTCAGTGGAGGCCAAGCAGAAGTGGGGAGGCTGGAGCATTGGATGGGGTTGGGAGTATTGCTGGGCGAGGCTCTTGTGTTCTATTCGGTACAGGGTGAGTTTAGGGGTACAGGTGGTACCCACATCCCTTTGTTGGCCAGCAGACAGTAGACATTCTCATGACGGCTGGAGAGGTGCTAGTTTGGACAGTTTGAAGTCATTAGTATAGAGGTGATATTTAAAGCCAGGGAATTAGATGCCGTTGCCCAGGTCAAAGAAACACTCACAGGACTCTGACCACTAAAAAAAGAGAAAAAAAATCAATGGGAGGTTAAGTTTATATAATAAAGGGTTCTCGACCCCCCCCCCCTTTCGCCAGCATGCCTCTACCGCCGCGGCTCACACGTCTGCCTGTGTCGGCTGGTGGGTGTGTGCCACAGACCTGCCTCTCAGCAGCCCCGGGACGTGGTACAGGGAGCACCCTCAGGGCAGTGCTGCTGCGGTGAGGCTTCTTTGGGGGGCTGGATGAGGGTGGCAGCTGAGCTCTGCTCAGGCCCACCCCTTAAAAGCCTTCAGTCCCTTCCCCTCCTTCCTCCACCCTTCGTTCTATCAAAATGCGTGAAGAAACAAAGCCTCATAAAGGAAACCAGCTCATCAGTCTGTCCTCTTTGATTTTAATTTTGTTTTTCAGTTTGGGTTGCTTCCTTTTTTTTTTTTTTAACATACTAATTAGATGCAAGCTTTTTTCTTTGATTTTATGGCCTACATATTTCCTAAGTTTTGCTGGCAGGATGACAGCTGATGTATCCCTTGAGGTCTCAGGAAAACGCTGATGAGGCAAGCCCAGCAGGGGACTCTTCCCATTATATTTCGGTCCCTTTCTCACAATTTTCTTTCCTCCTCTTCTGTGGGGGTGCCAAGAGAGCTGGGAATAATTGATGGCTCATTAAAGTCCCTCTTTCTGCAGACTGCTTACTCGGTGTTCCCAAAGTCCAGCCTTCCCTGGAACTGGCGGCAGCTCTGGCCTGAGGCCTGTGGTGCCCACCTAGGGGGTGACGGTCTCTGTGGCAGAGAAGGGCGGATCAGACCGCATGCTCCGCAGACGCACTGACAGCCGTCCCGCCTTTTGTCTTCCGGTGTCCGGCCCACAAGTGGCGTGGAGAAGGGGCTCAGCTAATGCTTTTTGGGGGTGCATACTGGGGTGCTGCTTCAGGCTTCTTTGTACTGTTCCAGAAATCTGGGGCCACGGTAGGTAGAGTGGTCACTCCCAAGCCACTTCTGTGCCAAGCTTTTCATGTATATTCTGTTTCTCACAAAGGCCCTAAAAGCAGAGTTACAGTCTCCATTTTGCATACAAGGTAACCGAGACTCATGGAGGTTAGGGGATGTTACCCAAGTCACTTTTAACATTGCAGACTGGATCCAGACTCAGACCTATACGCAGTCGGCCTTCCATCTGGCAAAAAGAAAAGGTCTAACTGTGCCAATTGGCTGATACACTCCTGTGGCATTTTAAGAAAGAAAATTCAGGGCGTCTTCCTTTACAAAGCACCCTGGCGTCGCAGGGCACTAGGTGAACTCCTGAGATGACTGAGACACTTAGGAGTCCCTGTCCCAAGGGGAATACGGTCCCATCACAGGTGAGATAAATAACCACAACACAAAGCAGATTGAGGTCAGTGCTACGACTGGAGTGGGACTCAAGAAGCACGGTTAGTTCTCCTGGAGACTAAAAGGAGCTTGGCGATCCAGGGAAGCTGCACAGAGGAGGTGTTTGCCTTTTTTGTTTAATTTTGATAAAATATAGGTAGGAGTTACCATTTTAACCATTGCAACCATCACCACCATCTGTCCACAGAATTTATTTTCGTCTTACAAAACTGAATCTCTGTACCCATTAAACACTTACTCCCCACCCTCCTCCTCCCCAAGCCCCTGGCAGCCGCCCTTGTGCATTCTGTCCCTATGAATGTGAAAGACCTCCACAGACAGATGCACCTGTACATTGAGTCGTCCTCTCCTTGGACGTGGAGTAGGAGCTGTGACCTGGGAATACTTCTTAGTAAAATATTTGTGCCAAGGGTTAGCA